AAATAACAGCTCTTGTTATTAACAAGGCTTTGATAAATTTCGTCACCATGGTTGGTTTGCCTAAGACTATACAGTCAGATTAGGACTCTGATTTCATTTCAGGTGTTCTGCAACGGGCTATGCACCAGTTAGGCATAACTCAGATTAAGTACAGTGCATATCATCCTGAACATCAAGGAGCTTTAGAGAGGTTTCATCACTCTTAAAATATGATAAGAATCTAATGTTTTGAGACTGAGAAGGATGAAGACATATATTGCGTCATTTCGGGCTCGGCCTAAAAAGCTTGTGAAGTTGCTCAGGAAAACCTGACAGAATCCCAGGAGAAAGTGAAAGTACATTATGACCAAAAGTCTCAAGAGAGATATTTCAGTCCTGGCGATAAAGTCTCATATCTAAAGAATTCCTGATCAACCATTACATGTTCCATGACACGGTCCATATGTTTTTGACAGAAATTAAGCGATACTGACCTATGTAGTAAAAACACAACTCTGTCACGTCAATATGATTAGAAATTAACATGAAAGAAATGAAAGTGTACCAACTCAGTGAGGTGCCACTGTTTCCCCTTTTGATACTTTATCAGATTATGCTACTTTGTAGTGGCATTGCTGATTATGCGAGCAATAAGCTAAACAACTCTGAAATTTTAGCTAACTTGGATGCTAAGTTATGTCATTTGACATATGAGCAAAAGGCTTAGGTTTCAGAGTTAATTTAACACTTTCTTCACTTGTTCAAGGATGTATCTCGCTGTACAGATTTAGTGTGTCATTATGTAGATGTAAGGGATGCTGTGCCTGTTAAACAAAATCCCAAACGGGTGAATCCAACCAACCAATTGACAATGACAATATTGAAACAAGTCATAGTGACTAGAGTTCACCTTGCATTCTTGTGCTCTCGCCAGATTGTACATGTTGCACTGACATGAAACCTGTGAACGCTGTTTCTAAAACTGACTCTTATCCAATACCAAGAACCGATGACTACATCGACATAATCGGCAAAGGCAAGTACGTAAGCAAGTTTGACCTTTTAAAGGGATATGAGTTATCTCTGTATGGATTGTTACTACTATAAGTTCCGCCAAAATTCTTCACATGTGGCCTCCCTCTCAACAATATGTGCTGGGAAAAACGTTGAAATTTGTTTGGGACAGCAATTGTCAGGCTGCTTTTGAGAAAATTAAAGCCATTCTCATGAATTCGCCTTTTCTCTAGGCACAAAACTTGTCCTGTTGCAGGAAGATGCACCTGGCAGTGATCATCCTGTTTGTTATTATTCACGGATGTTATTATTGACAAATATCAAAGAAAAAGAAACTCTTGCTCTATTGTTTCGGAAGTGTACTTGGTTACTACTTTGTTTCTTATTCAAGTGTACACTGATCACAATCCACTGACTTTTCTTTATGAAATGAAGAACAAAAACCAAGGCCTAATGCACTGGAACGTATCTTGGCAAGACTTTGATTTAGATATCAAGAATATCAAGACAACATTATTGCTGATGCATTATCGCGAGTTCGTTGAGTGTGATTAGTTCTGACTGAAATATAATGTGCATTGTTGTAAAAGATTATCATGATTATCATGTATAATGGTGAGTATTATTGATAGCTTTTGCACTTTTAACTATGTTCAGGCTTTCTTTCTTTTTGTAATAAGGTGGTGTATATTATTGATTGTAAGTGTATAACATTGTTTCTGTTCAGACTCGGTAGGTAATTGCATTGTTTCTGTTGAGATTCGGTAGGTCATTGCATTGTTTCTGTTGAGATTCGGTAGGTCATTGCATTGTTTCTGTTCAGATTCGGTAGGTCATTGCATTGTTTCTGTTGAGATTCGGTAGGTCATTGCTTTGTTTCTGTTGAGATTCGGTAGGTCATTGCATTGTTTCTGTTGAGATTCAGTAGGTCATTGCATTGTTTCTGTTGAGAATCGGTAGGTCATTGCATTGTTTCTGTTGAGAATCGGTAGGTCATTGCATTGTTTCTGTTGAGATTCGGTAGGTCATTGCATTGTTTCTGTTGAGATTCGGTAGGTCATTGCTTTGTTTCTGTTGAGATTCGTAGGTCATTGCATTGTTTCTGTTGAGATTCAGTAGGTTATTGCATTGTTTCTGTTGAGATTCAGTAGGTCATTGCATTGTTTCCGTTGAGATTCGGTAGGTCATTGCATTGTTTCTGTTGAGATTCGGTAGGTCATTGCATTATTTCTGTTGAGATTCGGTAGGTCATTGCATTGTTTCTGTTCAGATTCAGTAGGTCATTGCATTGTTTCTGTTAAGATTCGGTAGGTCATTGCATTGTTTCTGTTGAGATTCGGTAGGTCATTGCATTGTTTCTGTTCAGATTCGGTAGGTCATTGCATTGTTTCTGTTGAGATTCGGTAGGTCATCGCATTGTTTCTGTTGAGATTCAGTAGGTCATTGCATTGTTTCTGTTGAGATTCAGTAGGTCATTGCATTGTTTCTGTTGAAATTCGGTAGGTATTGCATTGTTTCTGTTGAGATTCGGTAGGTCATTGCATTGTTTCTGTTGAGATTCAGTAGGTCATTGCATTGTTTCTATTGAGATTCGGTAGGTATTGCATTGTTTCTGTTAAGATTCGGTAGGTATTGCATTGTTTCTGTTGAGATTCGGTAGGTCATTGCATTGTTTCTGTTGAGATTCAGTAGGTCATTGCATTGTTTCTGTTGAGATTCGGTAGGTCATTGCATTGTTTCTGTTGAGATTCGGTAGGTCATTGCATTGTTTCTGTTGAGATTCGGTAGGTCATTGCATTGTTTCTGTTGAGATTCGGTAGGTCATTGCAATGTTTCTGTTGAGATTCGGTAGGTCATTGCATTGTTTCTGTTGAGATTCGGTAGGTATTGCATTGTTTCTGTTGAGATTCAGTAGGTCATTGCATTGTTTCTGTTGAGATTCGGTAGGTCATTGCATTGTTTCTGTTGAGATTCGGTAGGTCATTGCATTGTTTCTGTTGAGATTCGGTAGGTATTGCATTAACGAATTTTCTGGAAGGTGTTTGGGCTATATAAGAGGACGAAGAAGTGACTAGAACATCTCTCACACATCGTCATTTGAGAATACATCAATACCTCCTTTCGTGTGAAGATCACTTTTCACCCTGGATTCCTTGCCTTAGCTCATACTGGAAGTGTGACCACTGTGAATATACTACTATCACTGACTTTTGCTTTCACCAGTGTATTTTTGTATTTGATACTGACCACTGCCATCATATTTTGTACTGCCATTGAATATTGTACTACCACTCTATTGTATACTGCCATTGAATATTGTTCTCCCACTCTATTGTATACTGTCATTGAATATTGTTCTCCCACTCTATTGTATACTGCCATTGAATATTGTTCTCCCACTCTATTGTATACTGCCATTGAATATTGTTCCCCCACTCTATTGTATACTGTCATTGAATATTGTTCCCCCACTCTATTGTATACTGCCATTGAATATTGTTCCCCCACTCTATTGTATACTGCCATTGAATATTGTTCTCCCACTCTATTGTATACTGCCATTGAATATTGTTCTCCCACTCTATTGTATACTGCCATTGAATATTGTTCCCCCACTCTATTGTATACTGTCATTGAATATTGTTCCCCCACTCTATTGTATACTGCCATTGAATATTGTTCCCCCACTCTATTGTATACTGCCATTGAATATTGTTCTCCCACTCTATTGTATACTGCCATTGAATATTGTTCTCCCACTCTATTGTATACTGCCATTGAATATTGTTCTCCCACTCTATTGTATACTGCCATTGAATATTGTTCCCCCACTCTATTGTATACTGCCATTGAATATTGTTCCCCCACTCTATTGTATACTGCCATTGAATATTGTTCCCCCACTCTATTGTATACTGCCATTGAATATTGTTCTCCCACTCTATTGAATACTGCCATTGAATATTGTTCCCCCACTCTATTGTATACTGCCATTGAATATTGTTCCCCCACTCTATTGTATACTGCCATTGAATATTGTTCTCCCACTCTATTGTATACTGCCATTGAATATTGTTCCCCCACTCTATTGTATACTGCCATTGAATATTGTTCTCCCACTCTATTGTATACTGCCATTGAATATTGTTCTCCCACTCTATTGTATACTGCCATTGAATATTGTTCCCCCACTCTATTGTATACTGCCATTGAATATTGTTCCCCCACTCTATTGTATACTGCCATTGAATATTGTTCTCCCACTCTATTGTATACTGCCATTGAATATTGTTCTCCCACTCTATTGTATACTGCCATTGAATATTGTTCTCCCACTCTATCGTATACTGCCATTGAATATTGTTCTCCCACTCTATTGTATACTGCCATTGAATATTGTTCTCCCACTCTATTGTATACTGCCATTGAATATTGTTCTCCCACTCTATTGTATACTGTCATTGTATATTGTTCTCCCACTCTATTGTATACTGCCATTGAATATTGTACTCCCACTCTATTGTATACTGCCATTGTAATTGCTATGCAGTAATTTGTATTGATTTATAAACCTCGTGAATTTTGACATACATTTGTTGATTGTATACCATTTGTTGGTTGGTTTTTTTTTTATTCACACTTAATTCTTTTACGTACATATTTCCTGGTTAACATATTGTTTCAATTTGGGAATCGACATGTATACGTAATAGTTGCAATTTCAACGTTTCTCATTGCACTATTGGCATATTGTCTGACTGGTGTCTACAGTGAATGGCTCTGCAGTGAGGAGGCCGTCTAAACGTACACATATGTGTATAAGTATCGAATCTGTAAATATCACATGGCTTTTGAATCCTCTAGATACTATCATATGATATGTTATGAATCATCTACTTGAGAAAAATATAATTGATCGTATTTTCACATATTGCATATGTGTGCGAAATCCTCTAGATATTGCATATATGTTAAGATATCCTATGAATATTGCGTATTTGTTCCAGTCTGGATAGGAACAAGTCCCTGTTTGACGACGATGTTGTAAACGGCTTGGACGCCAACACGAATGTTTCTTTCTCCTATTGTGGGTGTAAGCCTAACGAAGATCCCTCTTCAACTTCTGGGCAGAACAGCATTGTATGTTCTGCGAACAAAGCAAAGCAGTGCATATACCCACCAAATTTCACAGGGGTAACTCAAACGAATCGATGTTCAATCAGTAAAAAAAAGAAGAAGAGATCAGCTGACTTAGAACCAGTTCCTGTTATACGGAAGCGAAGGGTAATGTATATACAATGACTTCAATCCGTTTGTTCAGTGTGAGTGTGTAAAAGAGTTTTTCTTTCATAGTGGACTGTGAATAATCGACGAAGACAGTAAAGGTCCAGTTATGCAATGATAAAAAAGATTACAAAATACAAAGATCTGAATTTATGTTTATATTAGAATCATTTAAGGCGTAAAATTATTGTCCCCCTAAGAGGGTATGTAAGTCCCAAATCATTCGAAGTATTTTTCTGCACACTAGGCTTTTAAACGTAGTATCTTCGTTATTTTAATCTAAGGTTTAACTGGTACACTGTCGCCAGTGACTGAAGGGATGATATAAATCCTGCCGGGGTCCATGCAGGAAGCAAAAGTACTGTAAGTCCCCATGGTCCCCAGTATGGTGATCTCCCTTCAGTTGCTGACGATTTCTAGCCCATTTTTAAATTGTGATGTTCATTAATGCTTACTGCCTTTTAATATTCTCAACTAGTTTTAAATCAAGTCTGTGATATTCTAGTTATTCTACTGTCCTTCGTTGACAGCTTTTTATTCAGTTTAAATATATGTATCATAAATGTATCATAAATGTACTTTCTCGTCACGATATGGCTGAAATATTGCCCATGTGACGTTAAATAATAACTCACTCACTAGAATCATTTAAGATAGGACCTTTATGTCTTCAATGTATGGTCGTTGTTAGTCGTTCACTTCATCATTACAACAATCTGTCTGGTTGAACTCATTGCATCTGAACATGGATAGAATTTCGTAGCAAAGGGTATGAAAGTCGCAGCTAGGAAACGTTGTACTGTTTCGGGAAACAATTTAGCCATATACAGGAAACTGTTGACATATTTTGTTCTGGAACAATTATGCATAACCGTTTCCTTGTATTAGCCTTTGATGGACCTGTGGCTCAGTGTATACAATATCAAGTGAGTAATAATGCAAATGCGCTGCTTTCAATTTATTACACGTATTCGTGTACGACGTGTTTTGGGTTAGTCCAGATAGAAGCAATTTTAAATTATTATTGATTACATAGAATTATTATATCGTCCAGTCAACAGGATGGACAGAGCAGACAGCACGTGCCTACTGTGAAGGCCTCTTTAATGTTTCTACTGCCATCACCACGTGTCAAAACATAGATGAAACAAGCATAGAGCAGAGTAAAGAGGACTGCGTTTTGGATATACAGGTAAAAGAAATGTCCATGATATATCTCTTTGACAAGCTAGTGTACACTGATATTTTATTTACTTGTGAGTGAGTGAGTGAGTTGGGTTTAACACTGCTTTTAACATTGTTCCAGTTAAATCACGGCGTGTCAGCTTAATGTGGGTGGAATTTTTTTGAATTTATCTGCCTCATAACTCTTCAAATACTAAGCAGGATGTTTACACGTCGAAAGCTGATTTTAAACACATACAGAGAGATGTCTTAAAGACCAGATATATGCTATTGCTGTCTGACGACCGAAACATGCCGATATTCTTGTTCCCAGTATAAGTTGATAGGCTGGTTGGTCTGAATCGTTCTGTTTAGTGGGTAAATAAAATTGTTTTGCACCTCGGTTCAAAGAACACAATTGAAAAATGCTATTCCCTTTCTCCCCCACCCCATTCAAGAATATTGAATTTCAGGCAGTCTCTAAGATCACCTTTATCTCCAGACATATTTTTTCATGCCAAGAGTGTGCTTTTCAAGAAAAGAGTATTTGGTGCAAACATCTGGTGCAATGTTTGCATTAAAAAAAGTACTGAAAGACATTCCCATGGAAACTAATTGTGACCCCCTCCTTGCCATCCGATAAATGTTTTGTAAATTTAAAAAGCTGATCACCACTTGAAAATTCTTTGAATAGGTTCTTGGTCTCTTAGGTGTAACCAACATTGTAAATCCATTCGTCTTCCTAAGTAAGCATGGTCCCAATTCAAAATGAACATCTGACAGGTATTTTTGTGATACTTTGCTATCATATATTATTTCTTGACTGTTAAATGTCAGTAGAGGTTAAATGTCAGTAGAGGAAATATCAAATCGTCGTTCACCATTACCGCTCATTAAGTGCCATTGTCAAAAATTTTTTTGTCAACAACAGAGTAATCGCACCCATGCTCTGTCAAGTTTCATTTATACATTGTTACACATCGATTCCCCAGTTGAAACGCAAATGTTAGCCCATAAATCGGTACCTAAAGAGTTAATGAAATTATGAAATAACCACACAAGATAAAAGGGCATTTGATAAATGATATTGAATAACAGGGGCTCACTTTAACTTTAGTGATCTTTCATCACTATTTTGCCTTTTACACCCAACGGAAAATGTTTCAGCAGATGTTCGATTCTGATCTTATTAATAATGTTTCATTTTTCTACATATTAGATTCCTGCGACATTCATTTACTTATTCAGGATATGTTCTTTGGTTCTTAATGAAAGTAGTACCGCTATATAAACATGTTCTGCAGCTACTATACTTTGCCATAGCTGACGGGCGATACATACTTCTCCGACATGGCCGTGGAGACAGCAAAGGAACAATGTGGCAGAAAGGTCATGATGAACGCCACAGTCGCTGCTAGAGCTGCTGCAGCGAATGAAAGCAACGAAAGACCGTGGGAGCAGTTTCAGCGGGTCTCCTGCACCAACGAATGTAGTCACAGAGGAACGTGTGTAGAAGGTAAGGCCTTTCTGGTTGAGGCTATGTTGGCATTCATTACTATTTTGTATGGCAGCATATAATACTCTTGCGTCCGAACATATAGTTTTTAAAAAAAGAAACGCATAACCCGTATTTGCTGAGAAAATGTTGTATATTCAAACATAAATGAACTTGAGTACATGAAATTTTACATCCGTTTAGGAGAGATCAATGTCTATACAATGATGTCCATAACTTGAGGTAAAGCATTCACAATATTCCTCAAACGTGAATGGAGTATCAATATCTGTTGTGCCCACCACGTGCATGAATAACAGTTCTCACATGCCTCGTCATGGACTGGATGAGACGCTGAATAACGGCCTGGGGAATCCTCCGCCACTCCTCCTTCAGAAATACAGCTAGTGCCTGGAGAGTTTGGGGTTGATGTTGACGCTGACGGAGACGGCGATCAAGTTCATCCCACAGGTGCTCTATTGGGTTAAGATCCGGGGAACGGGACGGCCAGGGGAGCACGTTGACATTGTTAGCAGCGAGAAAGGTCATTATGACACGTGCCGTGTGGGGCCGGTCGTTGTCCTGCTGGAAAATCTCACGTTGGACGTCAATGGCAGGCAGGAGGTGTGGTAGCAGGATTGTGTCTCTGTAGCGTACAGCCGTCAGGTTTCCCTGGACGTGGACAAGATCGGTACGATCAGTGTAGGATATAGCCGCCCACATCATCACACTCCCTCCACCAAATATGTCCACTTGACGCAGGCATTTAGGGGCATAACGTTCATGAACACGTCTGTAGACCCGGTTCCTACCATCACGTCTATGCAACAGGAATCTGGACTCATCGCTAAACTAAATGCGTCGCCAGTTGCGAAGGTTCCAGGCAGTCACGTTGTTACACCAACGAAGACGATGAGCACGATGGTGACGGCGTAGCACGTTCCCGACGTAGGGTCTCCTGGCTCTCAGTCCATGTTCTCTCAGCCTGTTCTGTACAGTCTGGCCTTATATCCTCCTAAGTCCTGGCACCCTGGCTGCAGTGCTCTCACCCGTAGCAGTACGGTCACGCAAATGGAGGACCCGGATGTAGCGATCCTGGGCTGGTGTGGTGACTCTAAGTCTTCCTGTACGGGGACGGTCATTTGTTGTGCCTGTTTGGTTGTAGCGAGCTACAAGCCGTGATATTGTGCTTTGGCTAACATTCAGACGTCGGGCAACAGAAGAATGGGACTCTCCAGCCTGCAGTCTTCCAATGGCGATGTTCCTTGCGGCAGCATCAAGACGTGGCATGCTCATTTGGCTTGGAAACGCCTTCTGAACGAATACCTATTTCCGAAAGCAAGCTTGCTTTTTATTGCCAAACACTGCATGCTTTTCCTGCCCAATTTCAACGTGCAAGATGCCACTTGTTGCGTTGTGGCGATGCATTTCTTACTCATTCTAGAAAGTCACATCTAAGTCAACATTTTCAAGCAAAATCGATTTGTTGCAAACGGAAGTGTGTCAATTGATGCTCTTACCAATATTGATACATATTTTGACGATAATATGAATACAACAGGTATTATTTCCGTTTTTACATATCAGTAACACCTATGCGTTTCTTTTTTTGGATAGTATATGTCAATGGTTTAACTGGACGAGGAGAACATGTCCAAAGCATTACCTTGCACTGATGGCATTTTCCCGTATGATGTGGAATGTTGGCGATCAAGTCGTGTCAGGAGCCAAACATTTGCTGTGCATAGGTACCCTCCTTGTGGTGCCAGAATCAGATGATACATGGTTATATAATAGCTTGAGATCTTGAATTGTCATCATTGTATCTATGTTCGTCGCAAAAGACAAAACAAATGACTTCATTGTATTTTCTTGGCTTCGTAAATAAAATGTGAATTACAGATACATTAACGTTTAAGGTAAATAGTCCTTTATTCAGTGGGAGCAGTAAGCCCATAAAGAAGTGAGTCGGTTCAGTGTCATCTCTTTATTCACTGTTAGTGAAATATGTATGTCTCTCCACAAGGCGAATGTCAGTGTAAGACTGGCTATGGAGCCTTAGACTGCTCTGTAGACATCTCTGAACCGCCAAAAACATTTGGCCTGAGGGAGGACGGTGTCTGCGATGTTGCCTCTCACCCCTGCAACGCCAGCCACGTGCTTACAGAGTATATCGTGGAGAACAGTTACAGTAATTGTCGCACTAGATTCTTCGAGGTATGTTTTATTCATTATGTTAATGTTGAAACAAAAGATAAATATTATTATTTTCAGTTCATCCAGCCTGAAATGTTTAAGTCATTGCAAGTCGTTTTTCGGCGTCCCTAAACCTTTGACATATTCACACCTTTTTCTCCAAAATTCAATGCATCAAAACTGTAATTTCAATATATTGGGAGATAACATTCTTTCTTAAAGACAAAGACGCGCAGGATGCTCACCAGGTGAAGGACTCAGCTTGTTCAAGGCAGAAGTTTGGCCATAATGGAGAAAAAAAACATTATCTAAGTCATCTGACGTAAACTTCTCCTTTATGAAACTGAAATACAATTGCCTGTTCCTACCAAGGATGCCATCTGAATTTGTTAAAAGAGGTCGAAATCCGATTTTCAATATTTTAAATTGTTACCTCGACTTGCACATTTCGTCCTTCACATTGCAGAAAGCTGAAACCTAACATGCCAATAATCAGCCAAAATGTAACGATGTTTAGTACATGTTTAATTCGTAGTGGGGCTCAAGACATGTGTTCCGTTTTTCGCTATATTGGTAAGTTTGACTTCGGACAGTTTGGACCATGCTCATACATTCTGTCGGGGATGTCGGGTAGCCTAGTGGTTAAAGCGTTCGCTCGTCACGCCGAAGACCCGGGTTCGATTCCCGACATGGGTACAATGTGTGAAGCCCATTTCTGGTGTCCCCCGCCGTGATGTTGCTGGAATATTGCTAAAAACGGCGTAAGGTCATACTCACCCACTCATACATTCTGTCACAATGCATTACCTCACACTGCAAACATCATCTCTTAAGAAATTACTTGACCAATGTTCCCACCAAAGATGACATCTGAATTTTTTCAAGAGGTTCAAATCTGATTTCCAATGTGGGCCCCGCAGTAGTTATTATGGCCTCCACACAGCCATTTCTGTTCAGAATGTACTGTAATGATCTACAATTACGAGTGAGTGAGTGAGTGAGGTTTTAAGTCGCTTTTAGCAATATTCCAGCAATATCACGGCGGGGAACACCACAAATGGGCTTCACACACTGTACCCATGTCGGGAATCGAACCTGGGTCTTCGGCGAGACGAGCGAACGCTTTAACCACAAGGCTACCCCACCGCCCCTCTACAATGATGAGAATGAGGAAAACGAACATTGGTTCTTCTTATGATGATATCCAATTTTGTCCCAATCATCAGGATTCTGCTGTGTATATTGTGTGCCCTATGATATTAGAAATATTTTTGTCCTTTGAAGGTATACAGGGCTCAGAGTTGGAACTAAGGACCCGTGAAGATCCGGGATAGAATAGGTCTTCAGCAACCGAGGCTTGTCGTAAAAGGCGACTATGCTTATCGTAAGGGGCGACTAACGGGATCGGGTGGTCAGGCTTGGTTGATGATCATGATGTCAATCACTGGATTGTCTGGCCCAGACTCGATTATTTACACACCGCTGTCATAAAGCTGGAATATTGCTGAGTGCGACGTTGAACAACAAACAAACAAACAAGTTTGAATCAAGAGTAAATTTAAGTGCTGTGTATTGCAAGAATTATATAAAATGGTACATTCATTCTTGCAGATTCAGATATACGCTCGTACATTTAGTTGCTAGTGGATACTGATGCACATGTAGACGTTATTCATTAGTATTCATGCAAAACATACTTAAATAACAATTCTGATAGCATGATCAGAAACTGTTGACTGTCAGCTGTATTTCGTTTACATTGAGCACTGTCATGTGCAAATTAAGAAACCCTCTTTAATGAAATCACACATTAAATGAGTTAACTGTGTAGACATTGATTTACAGATAGACAACAACAATACCATAACCTATGGTGAAGTTTTAACTCGGACACTCGAAGTGGAAAGCTTTGCTGAAGGCGTCTGTTCTCTGCCTGCTGCCCGTCTTGAAGTTAGCGTCTCCATCACCGTTGCCCGTGGTTACCTGGTGTCAGTCTCCAATAATGGTCAAACATTCAGTGATGAAAGTCCAGTCGTCATCTTCAACTCAACATGTCAGGAGTGTGATGTCAATAACAACGTCGTCACTTGCAGCTTTGTGGTAAATCCCTTTCCATACATATAAGAAATATTCATTGCACGATTCTGACAATATCATGAGCATATCTAACAGACAATACCAAGTGTTTGCGGAAAGGTGAGCAAATCCTGTCCCATCGTAACACTTGTTCTGTGATCAAACAATTGATGTATTGATGTTAACATATAATGTATATGTGAGTTGAGGCCTTCTCAGTAGGAACAACTACAACCTCGGATAGAATGGTTTCATTCAAATTCCGTTTGCTCTTTTTCATTTTGTGCATTCTACCATTGACGTCACCTACTGAAAGACATTCCGACAGATTCCTCTTCTCCATTTGCCCTTTTTTGCCAGTGACAAATGTCTCGGATCAAAATGATCGCAACAAGGACATGCAAACCATAAGTCGGGAAACACGTACGGTTCGGAAGAACGCATCCAATGCACTAACAAAAGGGCTATGGATATGCACGCACTGCACGTGCAGCAGCACTATGAACAGTATTAAAGTGCAGAGTTTATGAGTGCCTGGCATCTGCGCCAATCGAACAGTGACAGTTCAACAACATGCAAAGATTAACAGAAGTGCAAAGAAACAAAGTCAGAGTCCGCTGCAGGCAGGGGAATCCCGATCAGCTGTAGCCAGGGTTTTCAATGTGGCGCCCAGCACCATCACAAGGCTATGGGATCAGTTTCAACAGCATGGGTCAACACGTGATTGGCCAAGGTCAGGACGACCAAGAGAAACAAGCCCCGCCCAAGATCGCTACATCCGACTGTGCCACCTACGTGAAAGGACGACCACAGCCACCTCAACTGCCGGACTGCGGAGAAACCGTTTAAGAGCAGCAGGTCTACGAGCAAGAAGTCCTGTTCGACGTGTCATATCGAGTAAACAACATCGGCAACAACGACTGCATTGATGTCGTCAACACAGGGTATGGCCTCAACCGCAAACAAGAGATGTTGATGTTCTCCGCTGGCCCTCCAGATCTCCGGATTTTAACCTGACAGAGCACCTGTTGGATAAATTGGATAGACGGCTACGCCGACGTCAACAACAACCCAAGACGTTGCAGCAGTTGGCTTTTGCGTTGCAGGCCGAGTGGGCTACCATTCCATATGATGTGATTTGCATACTCGCCTTTCCATGGGCAGGAGATGTTAGGCCACTATCGATTCCAACGTGGAATAATGATGGTTGCTGACCTTCGCCTTGGATTTTTTCCATGTACTGATAACTGAGATGACTACAATCTCCAAGAGTTCTCAAATGTATTTTCCAACCTCACACAAATCTGGCTTTGCGTTTCTTTTTTGAAGAGGCAAAGCTTCGAAGATAGGCCCAGGCTCAATATCCAGGGTGAAAATTGATCTTACATCTCCTCATGTCTTCTTGAATACCACATTTCAGTACCGGAAATTTCGTGTTCCTTCCATGTGACGTTTTGGCATATGTACTAACATCTGAACAAATTGCACTGAAACATAAGGACATAGAAAGTAATTAGTTTGTATTATGATTTGCTTTATGAGTGGTATTGTCCTTGTGCTTTTACTGTGCATCGAATGAATATTTTGTTCTCATCACTGTGCGGGGGGCGGTCGGGTAGCCCAGAGGTTCAAGCGTTCGCTCGTCACGCCGAAGACCCTGGTTCGATTCCCGACATGGGTACAATGTGTGAAGCCCATTTCTGGTGTCCCCCGCCGTGATATTGCTGGAATATTTCTAAAAGCGGCGTAAAACCATACTCACTCACTCACTCACATCACTGTACGGTTGTTGCAGACATGACTAAATATCTGATTCAGAGCCAGGCCTGTAAGAATGGTGACATCTGTGTTCCCGCCGGTTCCCCTCACCCACTCGATAACTGTCACGTGTGCTCAGATGGCCAATGGGTATCGAGTACAGCGTTTGGTAAGTACCGAAATGTATTCGCATGGTCGTTGGTTAACATTTGGTTGGTGTCATATGTCCGACTAGAGCAACTGCCCCGAAAACGTACCAATCACAAAGGAGACCTCTCAACAAAATACCCAAGGAAGTGTATCTGATTAAGGGTTGTATTTAGCATGTCTCTTTAGAATTAAGTACAACCCTCTATCCACACCATAAGAAAATCCAGCTTATGCTATCTGCTCATCAGAACTGACGCCTCAAGCGTCCGTTGTGCATTGGCTGTCGTCTACCCGTCCTACTCACCACCTACATGCCCACCCCACCTAAGAAACCACACGGTATTAGAATATGAAATATAGATGCAATACATGTATTTAGCAGCACATATGACATTCGTACTTGCTGGTTTAATTTCTTTTTAAAATCGTAACGATTTGTTTTTCAGAGGTCCCAAGGACTGTTCCTCACTAATTATCTGTCGGGAGAGTTCCAATAAATATAAGAACGATTTAGATATACTACACTGACTAATCACAGATGTGGTAAAATACTAAACTGTATATAAGTACATATCAAGTAAGGCTTCATTTGTATTTCTATGCATATTCCAGATAAGAGGTGTAATCCGGACAATAATGTGTGGATAATTGTTGGTGCTCTTGCTGGGGCACTAGTTCTTGGCCTGTTGATTGCGTTGGCCATGTGGATCTTCTTACATTTCAGGTAAGAATAGTTCTTGTCTAATTAGGTTGGGACTCTTGTGTGGTGATCACTGTGGATCTTAACTGACGTATACGTATTCACTTATTCTTCGCTGATTCCGATTTCGTTTGTTTGTTTGTTTGTTTGTTATTTAATGCCGCACTCGGCAATATTCCAACTATAAGACTGCGGTCTGTAAATAACCGAGTCTGGACGAGACAATCCAGTAATTGACATCATGAGCATCGATCTACGCAGTTGGGATACGATGACATGCATCAACCAAGTTAGCGAGCCTGACCACCCTTTCCCGTTAGTCGCCTTTTACGACAAGCATAGTCATCGTTTACGGCAAGCATGGGTTGCTGAAGACCTACGCATTTGGGATACGATGACATGCATCAACCAAGTTAGCGAGCTGAAGGTTTATGCTCACTGCAATGAACATATCACTTTCCTCTGCTTCAGAAAACTTTCACACTGCAGTATATAATAAAAGGAATTTCTTTTATTGTTGTCAATGATCAGTATTATGGCATTGTAGACTGCGTTTAAAATGCTGTCATGGTATGAAGCCAAACACTGCATTTTCGTATAGACTAAATGCAAGTAACATATTCCTAATAGAAGTGTTTCTTTTGTTTCAGATCGCCGCCAACATCAAATTCATCTGCAGCAAGAAAGAACTGACGGAACATAACTGGGAAACCGTTAAATATTTTATTACGAAACTATGTACATGTATCAAGCACATGCTGAACTTGTGGCTTTTTTTTGTTTTGTATTTCCGAAAAACAATTTTGTGTTTGGATTTAAACTCAATACTCGTAGCATTCGTTTCCGGAACATAACTCGGAAACCATTTGATATTTTATTGTGAAACATTGCATAAGTTTCAAACACATGCTGAACTGGTGCCTTTTGCTGTTTCCTTGGCAACACGTTGGACTTAACAGGTTTCTTACATAACCAAAGAGTAACTTAGCAATCAGGTGGATTGTGTATTTCTGAATCATGTATCCATTATTGTTTTCATATATTATCCATGAAACGTTATACCTATATTAACACAGTACTGAAACTGTTATGCTATTTTTGATTTTGAAGTGGATTTAGGGTTGTCTGAGAACCGTTACCAAAATTACCTAATTGACATGTTTGTGTGAATGGTGAAACAAAACCACTACAGTGTATATACAAGTGGCACCCATACAAGCCTACTTTCTCCTGATGGATTTAACAATTTACTTCGTGCTTGCAATCAGGCCATTCACAAAACATCTCTGCACTGATGGCTTAATGGTTTTTTTTGTTCTGGAGTTACCCTCCGTGTACATTCACTACAGAATGAACAAACAAAATACGAATGCACCCGATGGCGGGGAATATTGATAACGCTGTTTTCTTGTTCTATTAATCAATGACATGTCAAAATTAAATTGTAACCCGGGCCACGAGGCCTCCAATACTGAATAAACTATATCTGTCATAATTGTTTCTAGACATCTTCTGTTCTACAGATTTATTATGCAATCTCGGAACATTTCCAGGTTTTGAACAAAAGGGAGCACACACTTCTCCTCTCACATTTTATCGCTCTATCCATACTACTTGCATCAGTCCAAAAACTGTCGTATGTTGCACCCACAAGGACTTCTAAACAGAATATATTGTTGTACAGTTGATGATTTCCTTTGTTGTTGAGGGCACGGGTGGCCGAGTCGTCTAAGGCGCCACGATTCGCTGTGCAGAGTTGCGTCCCTTGGGCACGCATAGAAACCTATGATGGTGGGTTCGAATCCCGGTTCACCCCGATTATGTGTCTAGGTTTGTCAGCACTATACCCGTGCTCGTGGGTTTCACCGAAGTAGTAAACGTCTGAGACCTGCATCATTTCGGGGTTTCCTCCTACATTAAGCTGAAAGGCCGCAATATAACTGGAATACTGTTAAAAGCGGCGTTGAATCCAACTCACACACTCCTTTGTTGTTCGTATAGCTTGTACAGACACGAGCATGGGTAATTTCAGGGTAAAGGGTTTCCGCGATTGTACCCACAACTGGGGTTGTTTTCACTATTTGCTAAAAGGGCAACCGACCCAGAACGATCTTTTTTATGGGTCTCAAAACTTCAAACACATAAAGCAATCCTTTCAGACACATATACAGTTTCAAATTGGGCAAACGTTGGTGGTAGCTGACATAAACAATAAACACTCCAGTTGAACTTATTCCCTATTGGTCTCCAATTCGAAACAATTAAATAGGAAGTAGAATATATCTGATGCTTTGATTAGAAAATTATATTCTCTAGAATCAACTGTCATTACTGTCGTTTTCAAAGTATGCATGCAGTATGTTGGTTGGTTGGTTTGTTTGTTGTTTAAAGCTGCACTCAGCAATATTCCAGCTATATGACGAGTGTACAATAGTAATAATCGAGTCTTGACCAGACAATCCAGTGATTCATATCATGATCATCGATCCACGCAATTGGGATCGATGACATGCATCGCCCGTTAGTCGCCTTTTACGACAAGCATAGTCACCTTTTACGGCAAGCATGGGTTGCAAGACCTATTCTACCCCGGAATCTTCACGGGTCATAGTTGCACTTAATCAGAAAGTTATATTCCTTCATTTATCGCCATACGACAGTAGAATGAATCACTTTTATTACGCATATGGGTGACTTCCGGTTTGAGAACACATATCAAATACAGTACAATTTCATACCTTAAAGACACACACACTTCCGGCCAAATGAACTATCTGAAATCCCACACATTTCATTTTGAATAGGTTCTGTTACAAATACAAAGTTTATTGGCATGCACGAAAACAGGCAGATTCCTTCCATCCGACACGTCCGTAATGTTCACTATTTCCTTGTGTATACCCTTCACACAAGTACTGATCCTGATGCCTTCTCATGAATCTCCTCTTTATATGCTCCCAAGGTAACAAGTAATGCATGTTTTAATGAAGTGTCAACGCGCATGTTGACGGGGAATTAGCTCTTCGGGGAAAGAAGGACAAAATCGACATAACTGTCCAGGAACGCTTTATGCACAACATGTAAACAATAAACAACAAATGCACAATGAGCGGAATACCTGCTCTGACAACACAAACAAAGCAATACGCGGACCTTCCAGCTCAGGCGTACAAGAGGTGAGCGGAGCTCCAGCTCACCTCAGGACGTTTCCTACGAGCGGTACATCCTGCTCGAGGTCGGCCCTATGCCAGCACTCGGAATACCAAGCCTGACTAACACCCAAGTAACAGTGTAATGGTAGCACATATATAGTAATGAACAACAATGGACATACAAAGAGACAATGACATTGCTTTGGACATTGGCCATATGGGCGTGATTAACCAACACAGTTCATGGGATGATCAATTAGGGCAATAAATGCCATACTATAAAAAGCAGTAGTTAAAGGGAAGTGATATGGTAGTCCAGGCTGACTGACAGTCAATATACAATGAAATGTTGGTGAGGATTAACAACGGGGATTAGCGCCTAAAACGTAATGACAATTAAGTTATGGAGACATGGCTACAGGGTAATTCGCCTTTGGAGTCAAATGTACTGCAGACAATGGTAGTCATAAATCAGTCGCTATAACAGAAGTAACAAAGCGTAACATTGATCACAGACACAGTGACATAATTGGCTGACAGTCATTGTACACAACAATGGGGATCAATAGTTGCGATAACCATCAAATAAGTAATGGTCGATAGGGAATTGCATCAGAACTCATTTGTGTCACCGACGCGTCAACCATGAAACTTTTTGAAAGCTTCACTAAGACCTTGAATCAAACACCTTCTGGCCAAAATTCGTATGACGCTCTTTCAAATCTTGGTAGAAAGAGCATGCGCGATTGTTTCTCGAAAGTTGTGAAATGTAAACACCCAAGGCTGAAGCTGTTGGCACATTGCTCGACATGAATAGAAAGTTGACTTTTAGAAAGTTGATGTCACACCTCTTGTCATACATACAGTATTGTTTTCTCAGTAAACTTCAGATGGCATTTGCTTTCATTTTTCACAAATTGTCCTGAACCTTTGAATACAGATACGTAACTGTATGTGTGGTCACCAAGTTTTGTAACACAGGCACCATGGTCAAGGAATGAAGTTTTTCCTTAAATTTTGCATGTGGGATAGTGGTGTACAAAGTCTAATAAAAAGTTTTGACAGAATGAAACAGTTCTTTTGAGTTTTTGAGAATCCTTATGGTACCAATTCCACTTGTCTCAAATACTTTCTTTCTGTAAACTGAAAGAAAGTCCTTCCTTGAAGTTGCTGGATTCGATTAATTTCTTTCAGTGACACAGAGTATAGTCATGATCTTGCTTTGTGCAGTCCCAATTGTTACTGGAGGAGATGCAACAGATCTTCCAAATAAATGGTATCTTTTGCCTTCGTCCTTTCTTGTCACCATGGCTGAGTCGACGTCTTTAGGATGACTCAATACATTGTTTAAAGTTCGTTGGTTCGAAAGACTGCCAACGTCTGTTATTCGCCATTACATCCATATGGCATTGCTGTTCACAACAGCCTAACCCAATGGTTTCTCTGGATACACTATACGGTAGACTTCATTTAAGGCTATTAGAGGGATGGACATGGAACGGCATGTCATGGCTCCGGGGTAATAGACCTTTGAAAATAATACGTATTCACACAGAAATTGTTCCAAATCGGTCGCTATGACAGAAGCTAGGGTTTGCTTATGGAGTAGGCCCATAAACATTGCAATACCCTTTAGGAAACATAGCCCATACTTCAACTCAGGCATTGTCTAAACTTAAGTTTTTCCAAGATGAAAATATCATAAATTATTTCAAAAATATAAAAAGAATAAGTCAACTTTGTGTATTCTTACAACATGACTTTCTGCACTTCCTGATTGATAACATAAGTTTTTATATGTAAAATTTGGTGATAATGTCATGTATTGTTGATCTGATAATGGTCAAATAGTCAATTCCTTCCACTGATTTACCACATAAACTAGAACTAAAACAGACCAGGGAAACAATCACATCTGTTTCACATTTAGATCTATGTATAAAATAAAGGCGTGACAAAACAACCCACTGTGACAAGAGAGATGACTTCAACTTTCCAAATGTCAACGTTGCCTTTTTGAAGACTTAGTTTCCAGCAGCTCCAGTCTTTGGTGTCTCCATTTTATAACTTGTGATGTACAATCAAGTATGCACTTTCAAATGACTCTAGTTCGGAGGCTGCATGATCAGGCTTACATCATTCAAAGCGTTATTAACCCTTTCAAAACATTTGATGGTGGACATGTGGTTTTTTTCAGCTGAACATATGCCGTGCCGTTACTTGGCGTTGACGTGTTATTTTTGCATGTGTTTGTGATGGGTGTCACCCGTGGGGAAGACCATGCTTACCTTTTTGTGAGCACCTGTTATTAGTATTATTTTTTAGTGATTTATATACACGTGTTCATGGCATAGTCGGAAGCATAAACCAGACTCAGCCTTTGGGTGAGGTGAGTCGAAATTTGGTTTAACGTTGCGTCAAAGATTATTGCACTTATATACGGAGGCAGTTCTCAGCTTTCAGTAGAGATTTCCCATAATTATTACTATTTATTTTACCTACTCTATCCAGTCATCCTTCTAGATTAATATAATTCCATATAGGTTCAAGTGCTATCACTCACTTGGATTCCATTGGGCGTAAAGGGCACAATAGTGGCTTAAATTATACAATAGTTTGTTTGTTTTTATTTGACGCCGCACTCAAGAATATTACAACTATATGACGGCGGTCTGTTAATAATCGAATTTGGTCCGGACTATCAAGTGATTACCATCATGACCATGCTATTGGGATACAAGTATACATCAACCAATTCAGTGAGTCTGACCATCTGATCCCGTTAGTCGCCTTTTGAAACAAGCATGGGTTCCTGAAGACCTAACCTGGATCTTCGATCAGGGGATCTAAAATAAAATGAACGGACCACAGAACTCAAATGATGACACCAGGCGATTGCAACAAGCATGACCTGCTCCTCCGGCAGCACCTGCCACTCACACAATTTGCATAAAAGAGAAATGTGTGATGTTACAGACGCAGAGTGCTGTTCAAAATAGTCATGTTGACTACTTTTAGATTCCGAGATAGAATAGGTCTTCAGCAACCCATACTTGCCGTAAAAGGCGACTATGCTTGTCGTAAAAGGCGACTAACGGGATCGGGTGGTCAGACTCGCTGACTTGGTTGATGATGTCATCGATTCCAATTGCGTGGATCGATGCTCATGATGTCAATCACTGGATTTTCTGGTCTAGACTCGATTATTTTACAGACCGCCGTCATATAGCTGGAATATTGGTGATTGCGGCGTTAAACAACAAACAAACAAACAAACAAACTTTTAGAACCTTTACACATACATGTACACGACGCCAGCTATTTCACACAGATGGTGGTTGCACCCAGTCCTGTATAATCAAATCACTCACTGTATGACCTATCCGCTCAGTGTTTCTCACACCCATGTATCACCAAACCATCCGTCTATACCAAAAGGATAAAGTTATTGTGACTCGGTTCTTTTATACAAACTTCTGGGATTTGAACGAGGGAACATGTTTATGAAAGAGATCGAAACGCAACCAACTAATTGTTGCTAATATTACATCGGGAGGAATTGCTTCAGATGTTCTCTTTAAAGAAACAGATACGCAATCTCATATCATTGCTACTCAGTGCGATTTTCTGAAGTGCACCACAAAAGGTTTATATTTATTTGATGAGATTTCACTATGCCACACCTAACTGAAAATGACAGATGGCGAGCCATGGGAAGGCACGAAGATGGCGTAGTCTCATATGACGCTTGTGGGGACGTCATCAACATCAAACACATCAGAGATCGTCACAATATCTTTTTGCCTTAATCCACCCACCCCTGCATCATTCTCCCTGCATTAGCCAGTCCATTTTCTCACCCACCGTATTTTTAATAAACCACAAAACCGATGTAAACACATGTGCACTTTTTAATTACTGATTGTCGGTATGCCCCAAACATTTTGTCACAGTATGACCAGCTACTAGAGTGGAGCACCCGCTATGGACTTCTGCATGTGCTGGTTACAATCCGCTTCTTTAACAAGTCTGTGAGATTCGCATCATCAATATGGAATATGTTGGCCCTTGCAGGTGGGGAAACAACGCTCCTGACAGTAACCATGTCGGCATTGTCGGATATTAACACCATCATGACTTTGGCTTTGGCTTGTAAATCTTTGACAACAGGACCGATGTCCATCGACCCGCTACGCCTTCCATCAGTGAAAAGTATGGCAACGTTCTTAGCATCAGGTCGGTCACCATTGGTTTCATTGAAGACTTCGTGTACAGCCATTTCGAAAGCCAGGGCCAAGTACGTTTTGCCACCTCTCCATGTTTGCTGGTTAATCGTCATTAACATTCCTGTTCTGTTGTATTTGTAATCGTTCAGATGAAAGTCCACCTTTACACGACCCGAGAACACTGACAGAGCAACGTTGGTGCCGTCTGGTCTCACATCAAGCACATTCAGTAAACTATTCATGAAAGCAATCATTTTTTCATAGTAATCGTCCACGATGGTACCTGACACGTCTTTCATAAAGAGTAGATCCACTTTGTCGGGCGTGCAAACTACAACATAGAAAAGGTTAGTACTAATCTGACCCGCACATGTATCGTGCTTAACGAGGGAACGATGTTTAACAATGCAGTCAGCAACACCCAAATCATTCCGGTCTTTACATAATGGAATAGCGGCAAGATAAACCGGGGATGTTATGAACAACGTCCTGACTTCAATTATGTCGCCTTTGAAGACCAGTAATAGAGTGCTGCAGACCGATTCGAAACTGTTCTAATCAGGCCACCATGCAACAAAATAGTTTTTTAAATGACTTGTTTGTCATGTATTTGATTATCAGCTTCACAAGTAAGCGTTGCTTTCATTGCTTAATCATGGAAAGGCTTTTCGTTTCTTTTATTTTCGAATTCGATGTTTTCTTTCTAATTTCCATTAATTTATGTCTACTTCACAGCTCGGAAAATTAACCATTTGAAATGAAATATTTTTCATTTCATTTGTGTTGTTTATATTTCTCCTAGTCGACAAAAAGGGATACGATTTGACAATAAGGGATCACAAGACTATGCTTTATGAATATAAGTTCATTGTTATTTCTATTTCGACCAGGGGGGCAAGGGTGGCCCAGTCGTCTAAGGCGCCGCGATTGGCTGTGCAGAATGCGTCCCTTGGGCACGCCAGAAACCTATGATTGTCGGTTCGATTCCCGGTTCGCCCCGATTATGTTTCTAGGTTTGTCAGCACCATACCCGTGCTCGTGGGTTTCACCGAACTGGTAAATGTCTGAGACCTGCATCACTTCGGGCTTTCCTCCCACATTAAGCTGACACGCCGTGATATAACTGGAATAATGTTAAAAGCGGCGTTAAACCCAAACTCACTCACTCTATTTTGACCATCGAATTTATAGTTCGGAAATAGATTATTTAGCCAAATGTTTAGAAATGAGAGGCCTACGTTTCATGACAAGAAGTACAGTTTTCATACAGTCAGTAATCAAAATCTATCTGAGGATTCAGGACCATTTCTTTCGGTATTATGGACATGTAGATAGTACAAGTATACACTCCTACCTGATTCGCAGTACACTCCTGAAAAGCCCTCCTCACAAGTGCAGGTGAAATCGCCAAGTCCGTCTGTACAAGTGGCCCCGTTGAAACATGGTTGCTTGTCACAATGACGCACATCTACAACATATAGGCTTTCGAGGTAAACGAATTATTTCATAGACTCTGTTTCATCGGATAATCGATACTGGTTCTCAGGTATTGCTTTATATTCAAAGGCTTACGTGTGTGTTGCATTTCCATAAGATATCTGTCGTCTATATATTCAACTTCAAAACACAAGTCTTCAGCAACCCATGCTTGCCGTAAAAGGCGACTATGCTTGCCGTAAAAGGCGACTATGCTTGCCGTAAAAGGCGACTATGCTTGTCGTAAAAGGCGATTAACAGGATCGGGTGGCCAGGCTCGCTGACTAAGTTGATGCATGTCATCGATCTCAATTGCGTGGATCGATGCTCATGATGTCAATCACTGGATTGTCTGGTCCAGACTCGATTATTTTACAGACCGCCGCCATATAGCTGGAATATCGCTGAGTGCGGCGTAAAACAACAAACAAACGAACAAACAAACAAAACAGCTGCGCCTTCATCCTCTGTGCACCAATTGGATAGCTCAACGACCAATACGACAACATAATGCATAATGCGTGAGTGCACTATCATCAATTCTTGGACCATTTTATTGACTTGTGGATTGTAAATCCAAACAGTGTTTTTGAAAATAATTTATTAATGATTCTTTGGTCCTGTGTTGTCATTTTCTGATTTCACAATCAAAATCTGTATTTACCGACTTCTTAGTTCACCGTTGGGTTTCATTTTGGAAAATACCTCATGACACACCAATTAATTGAGACTTGTGCACAGATTGGCTCTTGGGATATTTTGCAAAAGAAAAAAGTATTTTGGCGACAAACATCATAGACCGAACTTTGCACTGGGTTCTAGCTTTGAAGTAAGAAATTTGGTTGACAGGGAAGGACAAGTGGTAACCAACCTGCTTCACACGTAGGTCCTGTGAAGCCTGTAGGGCAGATACAAGTATGGGTGTTATTTCCATCAACACACGTGCCACCGTGGAGGCAGGGCTTGCTGTCACAGTGACGTATATCTAGGGGAAAATATTCTTCATTAAAATCTACCAGTTTTCACTGTAAAGAATATCACAAAAAATTCATATCTTTTATAAAACAGAAGTTTCTTAAGAGTTAAATTTCACCTTTGGGAAAGAATGCCACTCGGTCAGAACAACTAATACGGGTTGAGGTGAACTGAAGATTATAGTAAGTAAATTGCCGCCATGGTCTATTGGGTAGAAGGTCTGTCAAGACAGAGGAAGGTAGGTGGTTCGATCCCTGGCAGCGTCATACCAAAGTACGAGTCAGGATGCTGTGTCTGAGTGGGCTATCCATGTACTTCAACCACCTATCAACTGTGACAAGGTATCTCAGTAGGCTAGCACTATAAAACCGGCATTTCTCTGGACAGTTACACACACACACACACACACACACACACACACACACACACACACACACACACACACACACACACATGCACGTAACTGTATAAGTTTAGTTATTTCGACCACTTGATGGTCTTTCTAGAGGGATGTCCCGAACACCACTGACTCTTGCCTTACCTTTGATACACCTTAGTCCAGTGAATCCTTGTTTACATATACACTTGTATGTGCCAACTAGGTCCACACAAGTACCTTCATGTTGACAGGGGTCGCTTTCACACTCGTTGATGTCTGGATTAAAAAAAATGAGAGTGAATGTTGTTTTACAGCCCAAGACAACTATATTCCAGCTATCTCTAGGCTTGCTGTAAAACATAACCGGTGGTTGATATCATGATCACGAGAAACGCCCCACGGCATTGGGCCTGGGTGACACGAAATCAACCAAGCCAGACCACCAAATCTGTTTTAGCCTGTAAGGGGTTAAAAATGTGAATCATGTGTGACCAAACTGTCCAGTATGTAGTCATATTAAAGGTACCTTTTAACATAAGTAAAACCATTGCTATTCTCAGTGGAACTTTATCTTTAAATGAACGACATTTTAGGGTAAGATTCCAGGTGGCAGGCGACCATCATCACCTCAACTAGCTTCCTTCACCTGGTTGTATCACCTTCCTCTACATGGTTGTATCACCTTCCTCTACATGGTTGTATCACCTTCCTCTACATGGTTGTATCACCTTCTTCTACATGGTTGTATCACCTTCCTCTACCTGCTTGTATCACCTTCCTCTACATGGTTGTATCACCTTCCTCTACATGGTTGTATCACCTTCCTCTACATGGTTGTATCACCTTCTTCTACATATTTGTATCACCTTCCTCTACCTGCTTGTATCACCTTCCTCTACATGGATGTATCACCTTCCTCTACATGGTTGTATAACCTTCCTCTCCCTTGTTGTATCACCCTCCTCTCCATGGTTGTATCACCCTCCTCTACATGGTCGTATCACCTTCCTCTACATGGGTGTATCACCTTCCTCTCCCTTGTTGTATCACCCTCCTCTACCTGCTTGTATCACCTTCCTCTACATGGTTGTATCACCTTCCTCTACCTGCTTGTATCACCTTCCTCTACATGGTTGTATCACCTTCCTCTACATGGTTGTATCACCTTCCTCTACATGGTTGTATCACCTTCTTCTACATGGTTGTATCACCTTCCTCTACCTGCTTGTATCACCTTCCTCTACATGGATGTATCACCTTCCTCTACATGGTTGTATAACCTTCCTCTACATGGTTCTATCACCTTCATCTGCCTGCTTGTATCACCTTCCTCTACATGGTTGTATCACCTTTCTCTACCTGCTTGTATCAACTTCCTCTACATGTTTGTATCACCTTCCTCTACATGGTTGTATCACCTTCCTCTACCTGCTTGTATCACCTTCCTCTACCTGGTTGTATCACCTTCCTCAACCTGGTTGTATCACCCTCCTCTACCTGCTTGTATCACCTTCCTCTACATGATTGTATCACCTTCCTCTACATGGTTGTATCACCTTCCTCTACATGCTTGTATCACTTTCCTCTACATGGTTGTATCACCTTCCTCTACATGGTTGTATCACCTTAATCTACATGGTTGTATCACCTTCCTCTACCTGCTTGTATCACGTTCCTCTACATGGTTGCATCACCTTCCTCTACCTGCGTGTATCACCTTCCTCTACATGGTTGTATCACCTTACTCTACATGGTTGTATAACCTTAATCTGCATGGTTGTATCACCTTCCTCTACATGGTTGTATCACCTTCGTCTACCTGGTTGTATCACCTTCCTCTACATGGTTGTATCACCTTAATCTACATGGTTGTATCACCTTCCTCTACCTACTTGAATCACATTCTTCTACATGGTTGTATCACCTTCCTCTACCTGCGTGTATCACCTTCCTCTACATGGTTGTATCACCTTCCTCTACATGGTTGTATAACCTTAATCTGCATGGTTGTATCACCTGCCACTACATGGTTGTATCACCTTCCTCTACATGGTTGTATCACCTTCCTCTACATGGTTGTATCACCTTCCTCTACATGGTTGTATAACCTTAATCTGCATGGTTGTATCACCTGCCACTACATGGTTGTATCACCTTCCTCTACATGGTTGTATCACCTTCCTCTACCTGCTTGTATCACCTTCCTCTACATGGTTGTATCACCTTCCTCTACATGGTTGTATCACCTTCCTCTACATGGATGTATCACCTTCCTCTACCTGCTTGTATCACCTCCTTCCCCGTGGTTGTATCACTCTAATCTACATGGTTGTATCCCCTTCCTCTACCTGCTTGTATCACCTTCCTCTACATGGTTGTATCACCTTCCTCTACATGGTTGTATCACCTTCCTCTACATGGTTGTATCACCTTCTTCTACATGGTTGTATCACCTTCCTCTACCTGCTTGTATCACCTTCCTCTACATCGATGTATCACCTTCCTCTACATGGTTGTATAACCTTCCTCTCCCTTGTTGTATCACCCTCCTCTACATGGTTGTATCACCCTCCTCTACATGGTTGTATCACCCTCCTCTACCTGCTTGTATCACCTTCCTCTACATGGTTGTATCACCTTCCTCTACCTCCTTGTATCACCTTCCTCTACATGGTTGTATCACCTTCCTCTACATGGTTGTATCACCTTCCTCTACATGGTTGTATCACCTTCTTCTACATGGTTGTATCACCTTCCTCTACCTGCTTGTATCACCTTCCTCTACATGGATGTATCACCTTCCTCTACCTACTTGAATCACATTCCTCTACATGGTTGTATCACCTTCCTCTACCTGCGTGTATCACCTTCCTCTACATGGTTGTATCACCTTCCTCTACATGGTTGTATAACCTTAATCTGCATGGTTGTATCACCTGCCACTACATGGTTGTATCACCTTCCTCTACATGGTTGTATCACCTTCCTCTACCTGCTTGTATCACCTTCCTCTACCTGCTTGTATCACCTCCTTCCCCGTGGTTGTATCACCTTCCTCTACATGGTTGTATCACCTTCCTCGACATGGTTGTATCACCTTCCTCTACATGGTTGTATCACCTTCCTCTACATGGATGTATAACCTTCCTCTACCTTCTTGTATCACCTCCTTCCCCGTGGTTGTATCACTCTATTCTACATGGTTGTATCCCCTTCCTCTACCTGCTTGTATCACCTTCCTCTACATGGTTCTATCACCTTCCTCTACATGGTTGTATCACCTTCCTCTACATGGTTGTATCACCTTCTTCTACATTGTTGTATCACCTTGCTCTACCTGCTTGTATCACCTTCCTCTACATGGATGTATCACCTTCCTCCACATGGTTGTATAACCTTCCTCTCCCTTGTTGTATCACCCTCCTCTACATGGTTGTATCACCCTCCTCTACCTGGTTGTATCACCCTCCTCTACCTGCTTGTATCACCTTCCTCTACATAGTTGTATCACCTTCCTCTACCTGCTTGTATCACCTTCCTCTACATGGTTGTATCACCTTCCACTACATGGTTGTATCACCTTCCTCTACATGGTTGTATCACCTTCTTCTACATGGTTGTATCACCTTCCTCTACCTGCTTGTATCACCTTCCTCTACATGGATGTATCACCTTCCTCTACATGGTTGTATAACCTTCCTCTACATGGTCCTATCACCTTCATCTGCCTGCTTGTATCACCTTCCTCTACATAGTTGTATCACCTTTCTCTACCTGCTTGTATCACCTTCCTCTACATGGTTGTATCACCTTCCTCTACATGGTTGTATCACCTTTCTCTACCTGCTTGTATCACCTTACTCTACCTGGTTGTATCACCCTCCTCTACCTGCTTGTATCACCTTCCTCTACATGGTTGTATCACCTTCCTCTACATGCTTGTATCACTTTCCTCTACATGGTTGTATCACCTTCCTCTACATGGTTGTATCACCTTAATCTACATGGTTTAATCACCTTCCTCTACCTGCTTGTATCACCTTCCTCTACATGGTTGTATCACCTTCCTCTACATGCTTGTATCACTTTCCTCTACATGGTTGTATCACCTTCCTCTACATGGTTGTATCACCTTAATCTACATGGTTTTATCACCTTCCTCTACCTGCTTGTATCACGTTCCTCTACATGGTTGTATCACCTTCCTCTACCTGCGTGTATCACCTTCCTCTACATGGTTGTATCACCTTACTCTACATGGTTGTATAACCTTAATCTGCATGGTTGTATCACCTTCCTCTACATGGTTGTATCACCTTCCTCTACCTGGTTGTATCACCTTCCTCTACATGGTTGTATCATCTTAATCTACATGGTTGTATCACCTTCCTCTACCTACTTGAATCACATTCCTCTACATGGTTGTATCACCTCCTTCCCCGTGGTTGTATCACTCTATTCTACATGGTTGTATCACCTTCATCAACATGGTTCTATCACCTTCCTCTACCAGGTTGTATCACCTTCTACTACATGGTTGTATCACCTTAATCTGCATGGTTGTATCACCTTCCTCTACATGGTTGCACCACTTTCACTACATGGTTGTATCACCTTCCTCTACATGGTTGTTTCACCTTCCTCTACATGGTTATATCACCTTCCTCTACGTGGTTGTATCACCTTCCTCTACCTGGTTGTATCACCTTCCTCGACATGGTTGTATCACCTTCCTCTACATGGTTGTATAACCTTCCTCTACCTGCTTGTATCACCTTCCTCTACATGGTTGTATCACCTTCCTCTACGTGGTTGTATCACCTTCCTCTACATGGTTGTATCACCTTCCTCTACATGGTTGTATCACCTTCTTCTACATGGTTGTATCACCTTCCTCTACCTGCTTGTATCACCTTCCTCTACATGGATGTATCACCTTCCTCTACATGGTTGTATAACCTTCCTCTACATGGTTCTATCACCTTCATCTGCCTGCTTGTATCACCTTCCTCTACATGGTTGTATCACCTTTCTCTACCTGCTTGTATCAACTTCCTCTACATGTTTGTATCACCTTCCTCTACATGGTTGTATCACCTTCCTCTACCTGCTTGTATCACCTTCCTCTACCTGGTTGTATCACCTTCCTCAACCTGGTTGTATCACCCTCCTCTACCTGCTTGTATCACCTTCCTCTACATGATTGTATCACCTTCCTCTACATGGTTGTATCACCTTCCTCTACATGCTTGTATCACTTTCCTCTACATGGTTGT